GTAACAATGGATATGGTGATGGGAATAAAGTCATGCAAGTACCTATTTTAGATTGAACTACAGATTTCAATGGATGAAGGTTTTTTCTTTTCCATAACTATCCCTTTCTCCAACCCAACTCTTTTCTTCTCGTCCATGTCTCCCCCACTCTGTTTCTTCCCAAATGCCAAATCAAGTCTCCGTCGACCTCCCGTCTCATTGTCCCTTCCCAAACCTTCCGCCCCTTTCACTCTCGAAGCCCTCCTCATCTGGGCGAAGGACCCGTGGGGTTTTGGGTCGTCGGCTATGCCTTCAATCGGATCAAAGTGAAGAAATGGTGGTGGTGACTGGTGACTGGTGGTGGAATCGATCACGGTGGTGGTGACGGGTTAGGAGGAGATGGAGGACAAGGGTCGGAGATGGCTGGGAGAGAGAAGGGCACAAAATGGGATGAATCGAATCTTAAGTTCTGAGTTCTTGTTTCGTCGATTTGGGTTGTAGGATTCTGATTCTTGTTCGTCGATTTGGGTAATGCAAGGTTTTAGGTTTGCAGATTTGATTGCCGAGATTGATTGAGGAGATGTTAGATTGACGAATTGTGATCTGGGAGAGTACAACCAACAAGCTCACTGTGATTTGGGCGATGCTTGCCTGAGTTTTAAGGAGAGGTCGCATTGGCCGAGCCAATGCCTTTGCAGTGTCACCAACCATGCTATGCATCTTATTCATGTAGTAGCTGATGGCAAAGGATGAATGGTAGATAGGGGTGGGCAACCGGACGGAATTGGGTACCCGTCCCGTTTGAAACGGGTACCCAATCCCATTTGGAGAGGAAATTCTATCCCCTATCCCAAATTAGTATGGGTTAATGGATACTCATTACCCGTATGGAACGGATAACAGGTACCCGTAGGTAACCCACAAAATCAACGATCAATTTCCAAGTAATATGGGCCGGATCGGGTAATTTGAGACGATGTCTTTTAGCAAATGGCATATGTCCTTTTCTGCCTTTGAAGTGAACAACTCGTTCATTAGAGAGACGAGGATCATTAGGCCAAATGTCAGTAGAGTGAGTTGATGGGTTCTGAAATTGGAGTTGAAACAGAGGCGATGAGTGGGGAGGGGAGGCAGGGGACAATGGACATACAGGTTTTGGCTAATTCGGACGAAGGAAAAAGGTGGTCGTTGCACTCAATTTGGATTCTTAATTATACTTGTAGGTCGACAATATTGTTGGGTTTATTATGGGATTTGTCAAATGGTACATGAGTAGGGATGGCAATGAATCGGGTTGGATCGGGTTTTGTCAAACCCAAACTCAAATTCATGGGTTTATTCGTGAAAAAAACTCGGGGTAAAACCCAATGAGTTTGAAAAACTCAAATCCAACCCAACCTCTTGGATATCCGCGGGTTCGCGGGTCCCAGTGGGTTTTTGTCGTAAAAAATTTACAATAACAAGTTTCTATCAAAATAAAAAGTCAAATGTCAATCTCTCAATACAAATTATCCACATATAAAACACCATTCTAAAAAATTCAAGCAAATCACAAATTAATCATACAAATTGTTCAACACCAATCTAGAAATCTCAAGAAAATTGAAACAAATTACAAATTATCCATAAACAACATGATTCATTGAAAGCTTCTTCCTCATCAATTAAGCTTCTTCACTCTCCACTCGATAATATCAACTTCATTTTACACAATTAGAAAGAAAAAATTAGACATGTCTCCTCAAACATAAAGAAGATTAGTTATTTAGAATATTAAATATACCGGGAAAATTAATTATATGGGCCCATGGCCGGTTTACCTAAACCCAAACCCAACCCGGTGAATAGTGGACGGGTTTAAACCTGAACCCGGCCGAAAATCCGTCAACATGAATTTTACCCGCGTTGACCGGATTGAGTCGGGTAGGGTACCCGTGGGTTCGGGTTTTGTTGCCATGCCTATATATGAGTTACTATGGGCGGGTAGTACGGTACCCGTAATACCCAAACAGATATTAATGGGTAACTCATGGGTGCCCGTTTTAGAACTTCTTGATCCCAAATCTTATCCCGTAAAAAAAAATTATGGGTACTTGAATACCCATATCTCTAAAAATCAGGACGGATATGAATATATCAAATACCCGTTCCCCGTTTCCCACCCCTAATTGCTGAGGGTACGAAGAGCTAATATTGCCTGCCAAAAAACTTCCAGCAAGATGCATAGAATGGTGGCGGAGCATGTGGTTTGTCATGGGCGAAGGAAGATAAGCGACGAGGATGACAAAGAAGTATGGGCAAAATTGTAATATGATATTTTGATATGTTTTTAACAATATATAACTTGTATAATCAAAACAATAGATAGCACAGTTTACAACTCAAGAAAAAATTAACGTTCAAAATCAAAACTCTACACACTCGCAGACAACAAAGAAATGGTCTTCCTAGCCACGTCATGAGCCACCCGATTGTTACTACTGCCAACAAAAGCAACGTCAAATCTTTGAAAACACCGCTGGATCTGACAAAGCTCCTCCAAAATCCGACCGCCCCTCGAATCTCTAGTAACCCTTCTGTGAATCTTCTCAATGACAACCTTCGCATCTCCGTAAAACATCACTTCAGTAAGACCCTTCAGAGAGCACCACCGAATCGCATCACGAAAGGCTATCAACTCAACTAGGAAGGGATCCACAAGACCTGCATAATAAAATCACATAACAATCGCCAGTCATTTCCTAACCTGCCATTCATACTGATGAATGAGCCGCGAAATGTCATACTGCACATGGTCAAAAATCACCCAATTCCGACTCTTCCAGATTTTCCATAGAAACGCCACGAAACGCACAATCCTCTTCGTCCCGGAATCCTGCTCAACGAAGCGGCGGGAAAACAAAGCAAAGTTATTAACATCTACGTACCCCGCCAGCAATGCCCGACCTATCCCATAATGCAACAGCAACCCTACACGAAAGGAACATGTGCTCCATAGTCTCGATAGGCGCCCAGCACACCGGACATTTTGGTGAAATCGAACCCTCAACCTCAGTAGTATCCCCTAGACCTCTACCACAGCCGGCACGTTTCCCTCCTTCTCAATTATCGCCTCCATGGTGGGCAAAACGCGTCTCAACATCTGCCACACGAAAAACTTTAACTTCGGCGGCATAATAATATGATATTTTGATTAAAACCCCACATTCTTAAACAAACAATTAATATAACTAAATCCCATGTTTTATAAATTATTTGAATTTTTAATTGAGGGAATTGGGCTCAAATCTTCACCTACCCAAAACCCCATCCTAGTATAGTGTGATCACAAAGTAATTTTCTGGGGTTTCTGTTATGTATAATATCAACTATATCCTGACCTGGAGTTGCCTAAAGATATCTGAAAATGCGCCTGGGCTCTGGCCATGTTATATAATGTCGTCTGATTTGCCAAACGAGAAAGAAAGAGGAAATCGTTTTGAGTGGTCCTTAATTAGTTGGCCAGGCAATAAACTTTTGGTCCACCGGAATTTAGGCCGTGCCATCAGAAACTTGTGGTCGTTTACGGGAAGATTAGGCTGCATTGCCTAACACAACTCCATAACTAAGAAAGAGGCAAGCAACTGATTTCTTTGTGTTAAAACGACATTGGCTACCTTCCTTATAAATGGTTGCGAAAGATAGATTTGTGTTTATGTCCTTAGATCCCACGTCCCGTAGTTCATATTGGATGAAATTATACATCAATAATTTTGTAAATCATCAAATCCGCAAGTTCAAATTATATAAATGATGAGATAGTGCCATTAAACAACACAAGGAAATTAGGAATGACGGTTTCGATCGAAATCGTTTTATCTGACCTATTTGATATGTTTTGGAGCTAAATGGGCATGAGTACTCTTCTTAATATGACTCGCCCTATTCTCGGCCCGCTTTTACTAAATTACATGTCATTGTACTCAAATTACTTAAAATTTAACTTTAAATACCTCATATTTTCATGAAGTTGCAAATAGGTCAGAAGATTAATTTTTTGAATAGTTTAACTACATTTATCATGTTATAAGTTGTTTCTTAGTGAGAAATCAATATTTTTTTAAGGGTGACATAGATTGTTTTTTATAGTTAGGTGCTATTGAGTAGATTCGAACATGTGACATCCAAGTTGAGGACTCGTGGTATTACTAGTGATGTCAATGAGGCGCTGGGGGTACCTCGATACCCATACTCGCCCTGTGCTAAAGCTCGGGTCAGGGTCAGGTAATGCTCACGCGAGTACGTGGCGTGGCGGATCGACTCATCCTTACATGTATTTTGAAAACATAATGTCGAGATTTAACTATTTTATTATAACACATAAAAAAAATACTTCATAAATGATTGAGAATATAGTATAATGAATAATTGAGCCTAAATAGTTTAAATATATAGTTTTAAAATTTCTGTAGGATGAAATTATGATTCTGGAAACCTCAAAGGAGATGAAATACACATATATATTGAAGCAAATCATGATAGAACGGATAAAAAACGCGACGGGATGGGTCGGAGCAAGTCGGAAGCAATATCCATATCCCGCCTTACGCTATTATGAGTTGAGTAATACTCGCCCCAAACAAACCGGGGCAAGTCAAGTCATACCTGTCATGTTGAAAATTGTCATCACCAGATATTACCACTATCTGATCTAAAGTCATTATTTGCAAAAAAATCAATATTTCTAATGTGTTTTCTTTAAATTAAATCTTAATATAAATTACATACTGATAAATTATCCGAACTAGACTTGATTTATCATCTACCAAAAATATATGTATCAAGATATCCGGTCAACATCCTCATTGTTATTCCTAGAGAGAATGGAATAAAAAAAATCATATGAAAAGATTAGAACAAGAAAATACCCACACTAGGTCTAGGCGGGACTCGTGAGAGGTGCCACAAGTAGGTCGATTGAAACATGAAGTTGTATCACTTTGACCAGACCAAAGAACCTTCCTTTCCTCCCAGTCCCAATTCTCTCTCCCCCTCTCCACCTTCCACTATAAAATAAATACCACAAAAACCCAGTATCCATAAGACCATAACCATCCCCTGCTTTCAAACTCTCAAAGACATTTCTTTCCCAATTCCTCTCATTTCTCTAATCTCTTCGCTTTCCTCCCCATCTAACTCAATCACTTACAGCGACGAAATATTACGCTTCTTTGCGACAAATCCGAAAAACGAAATGGAGTTGATCAGCGCACTGCCGGAAGAATGTCTCTCCTCAATCCTCTGTTTCACTTCCCCACAGGACGCCTGCCGATCGTCGGCGGTCTCCGCCGAGTTCCATTCCGTTGCCGATTCCGACACCGTCTGGGAGAATTTCCTCCCGTCCGATTACCGATGCACTGTCGCTGATTCCGTTCCCGCCCTCCAATTCTCCTCCAAGAAGGAGCTCTACCGCAAGCTCTGCGACTCTGTTCTCGTCGACGGCGGCCGAAAGGTGAGTTTTTTTATTACATATTTAGCTTTATATTCACTCATTCCATTTGGGTTTTCCGTAATCTTATATTTTGGGGATTTGCTTGCAGAGATTGAAGCTGGAGATATTGTCCGGGAAGAAATGTTACGAATTGTCGGCCAGAGATCTTTCCATCACTTGGGGCAGTGAATCAATGTACTGGGCTTGGACTTCGATTCCCGAATCAAGGTACAAACTTTTTTTCTCGAGAACCAAACAGACACAAAAAATTTCATGGGATTCGAATTCTGAAACTCCTGAGGAATGAACTTTCTGACGTGGCGGCGGCAATGATTGATTCCTTTTTCAGATTCTCGGAAGTCGCCGTACTCCGGACAATGTCGTGGCTTGAGATCCAAGGAAAAATCAACACCCAAATGCTGACGCCCAACACCAAATACGGAGCCTACCTCGTACTGAAGATATCCGACCGAGCTTTTGGCCTCGATCTGATGCCATCGGAAGTATCGGTCCAGGTGGGTGACAACGAAGCCTGTCGAAACACGGCGTACATCCGTCGCCGGGAAAATATCCACGTGGAGGCTATAGAGAGGATGATGTACGGGAACAGGACCGAAGTGCTGAAATTGATGGTGGCCACCGGGGGAGAAGGGAGGTTGCCGGCGGAGAGGGAAGACGGTTGGTTGGAGATTGCGATTGGGGACTTCTTTAGCGGCGAAAAGAGCGTGGAAGTGAAGATGGGCTTGAAGGAAGTGATGGGCCACCACTTGAAAGGTGGGCTTATTGTCCACGGGATTGAAATTAGGCCCGAAAACTGAAAAAAAAAAAAAAAAACGAAACTATTGTATTTTTATTAATTCGTTTAATCTTTTTTCTTTTACTATTTGTGATTATAGAGAACTAAACGTCATATACATGTAGATAAATATCATCATAAATACAGTGATACAGATTAAAAAAAAAGTTATTATACATAAATGAGAGATTACAAGAATATTTATTTATTACATCACACGAGTATGACCTTGGACTTGGAGATAAATTGGGTCCGGATCACCTCAGTAACCGACCTATCAGTAACGGTCAGTAACCATCCATCTGACCGTCCATCGCGCCATCTTCCCAGCCGTCAGATCATGCCAATTAAATACACGCGGGGGCAAAATAGTAATCACCCTCTGACAATTTGAATTGCAGACGTGACAACGACAACCGTCCCGCCTTCTCTCCTTCTTTCTCTCACCTTTCAAGCGACAGTTCCACTTCCCTCTGCTCTCTAACTCTCCATTCTTCCTCCCGATCCTCAATTCTCTCACCAAAATCGCAGCAAAAACTTCCAGAAAAAAACTTCAAATCGAACGATTTTCGCAAAGGTTTTCGAAGAATCATTCAACGATACACTGTTCTCGCTTCTTCGTCAAAAAACGAAGGGTTTCCAACTTCAACGAGGCTCAAAAATCGTTTTCGCACAAAATATCAAGGTAAAACCTCACTTCTTTCTTCGAAATCCATCCACAGAACAATAGAACAGTATCTCAGTCACTCTTCATGTGAAAATTGTAGTAAACTCGCTAAATTACCGAATTGTTACCATGCGTTGCTGAACTGATGTAGAATCTGTTGTGTTTTGCTTCGTTACCATATGGTAATGTGTGGTAAGTTATGATTGCATGTTGTAAAACAGCAAAAAACCATAAGTCCTGCTGTGTTTTAGTTTGTTACCATATGGTAATGTGTGGTAAATTATGATTGCATGTTGTAAAATAGCAAAAAACCATAAGTCCTGCTGTGTTTTAGTTTGTTACCATATGGTAATGTGTGGTAAATTATGATTGCATGTTGTAAAATAGCAAAAAACCATAAGTCCTGTTGTGTTTTAGTTTGTTACCATATGGTAATGTGTGGTAAATTATGATTGCATGTTGTAAAATAGCAAAAAACCATAAGTCCTGCTGTGTTTTAGTTTGTTACCATATGGTAATGTGTGGTAAATTATGGTTTCATGTTGTAAAAAAGCAAAAAATCATAAGTCCTGCTGTGTTTTAGTTTGTTACCATATGGTAATGTGTGGTAAGCTATGGTTTCATGTTGTAAAAAAGCAAAAAACCATAAGTCCTGCTGTGTTTTAGTTTGTTACCATATGGTAATGTGTGGTAATCTATGGTTTCATGTTGTAAAATAGCAAAAAAACCATAAGTCCTGCTGTGTTTTAGTTTATTACCATATGGTAATGTGTGGTAAGCTATGGTTTCATCTTGTAAAATAGCAAAAAACCATAAGTCCTGCTGTGTTTTAGTTTGTTACCATATGGTAATGTGTGGTAAGCTATGGTTTCATGCTATAAAAATGGAGGAAAACATACGTCCTGTTGTGTTTTACTTCGTTACAATATGGTAATATGTTATAAGACATGGTTTGATGTAATTACCATATGGTAAAATGTGATAAATATATGGTTTGATTTGGTATGATAGGAAACCATTATGGTACCATATGGTATATTATGGTAAAAAGCACGCTAACAGACTATTCCTAATTTCTACATTCAGGTACACAGTACACTATGGTAAAGCAAAGAAAAACTTTTCGCACAAGGTGCAGCCCAACAAGAATATCTGCAATTGCAAGGACTATAAAAGATGAGCAGAAAGAGAAACTTGAGATATTAGGCCTAGCAGGCTTAATATCAATCAAGCAGACAAAGATAAACAACCATTTTGCACTGTTCGTAATGAACAAATACAATCCAATGAAACAATCGTTCAAGCTACCTGACGGGACACGCATGAAGATATCACCAATCGACTTTCATAGGGTATATGGTCTGCCAATGGGGAATAGGGAAGTTGTACCTCCCACGATTTCTTGGGACGACGCAGCAGATTATGCAATAGAAACCCTACTGGAAGTAGATGGAGCATCCACTCCAAGGGTAAAGCTAAGTCAGGTAGAAAAAGATCTTCCTACAGTTACAAACAGTAAGAGATGGTTACAATTGTTCTTTCTGCTGGTCACCGGAGGCTTGCTGTGCCCAACTTCAGCCCCTATGGCTGAACTCAACATGCTTGAGTACTTGAAGACTGATGAACTGAAACATTTCACCAGCTATAACTGGTGCAAATACTTCTTCAACCACATGAATGAAGGATTGAAATCACCAACCCTCTACGTCAGTGCAGATCTTCACTTCCTTACAGTAAGTCTCCATTTCCTTGGCCATTTCAACCTTGTTACTCATATATTTTATATATAAATGATACTCTTTGAAAAAACTAATACAACTATCTGCATAAAAAGGTATGCTTCATGTACAAACTGGACGAAATGGCATTCTCAACCCAGCTTCGAACACCAACAGTAAGCTACTATGATGATAACAATGTTGATAGCAAATTTGAGAACATTAAGAGCTACTACAATGGAAAAGAGTTGAACGAGATCGAAAAGGTTGCCAACATTAGTGACGATGAGGCTGATGATGCAGCTGATGAGGAAGAGGAGAATGAGCCAGTCTATGAATCACCGAAAAAACAAAGAAACAAAAGTCCAGACCAGTCATCATCACTGAACTTTGATTTGAAGAATATCAGAACAGTCAACCAAGTAAGTACAAATTATCTATATTACAGTTGTCCAATTCATGCTAACCGTAAGTCCTTCTGTGTTTTAGTTTGTTACCATATGGTAAGGTGTGGTAAGCTATGGTTTCATGTTATAAAAATGGAGGAAAACATAAGTCCTGTTGTGGTTTACTTCGTTACCATATGGTAATGTGTGGTAAGCAATGGTTTCATGTTATAAAAATGGAGGAAACCATAATTCTTGTTCTGTTTTACTTTGTTACCATATGGTAATGTGTGGTAAGCTATGGTTTCATGTTTTAAAATAGCAAAAAACCATAAGTCCTGCTGTGTTTTAGTTTGTTACCATATGGTAAGGTGTGGTAAGCTATGGTTTCATGTTATAAAAATGGAGGAAAACATAAGTCCTGTTGTGTTTTACTACGTTACCATATGGTAATGTGTGGTAAGCAATGGTTTCATGTTATAAAAATGGAGCAAACCATAATTCTTGTTCTGTTTTACTTTGTTACCATATGGTAAGGTGTGGTAAGATATAGTTTCATGTTATAAACATGCAGAATAGTGATAATAATTGCCAATACCATGTATTACCACCATGGTAACTAACCATACACCACACACACATTACCACAATGGTATCTTACAAAAACTCCCATTATGCAGGCTGAGAATGCAATCAAACTGCTTGAAGCATCAATGAAGGCAATGATGAAAGCAATCAAAGACCAGTACAAAAGCCAAATTGACAATCTGATCAGACACAAGGAGAATCTTGCGAAAGAAAGCTGTGATGAATATGTTCAGCCCACAGAAGGAGAAAAATCTCAGTGTGAAGATGATAAAGAAGAGAATGATGAAGAAATGAATGACAGTTTGAATAAAACACTCAATGAAATATTCAAACAGGCAAAGATAGACCAGAACGAAGAGGAGAACGAGGAGCAAACACAGAAAGAAGATGATTCACAACCATCTACAGTCGATCTTGCTGCATCTACACCAAGCCAAAAGAAAAGGAGGAAGATGATTCTGCTCCAGGAGCTGTGAATAGGGAAAGCATCCCGAAAGAAGGAGATCCACTGGGGGAAGTTGCAACAGAACCACTAGCACAATCTGTTCAAGAAGGTCTGAATCAGGGAACACCACAACAAGAGGACACCCCGAAAGCAGTTCCAGAACAGACATCTGCAAAAGAAACAGAAGAAAAAGGAGCTACCAAAACAGCAGATCCAATGGAAGTTGATAAGGAAACAACAGAAGAAGGGAATACAGGGCAAGCTGCGCAAAAGACTGCAGAAACTGACAGCGAGAAAACGGTGTCAGATGATGTTGTTCGAGAAGAGGCTCCAAAACTGACAACCAAAGCTGCTGAGAAGCCTAAAGTGACAAGGGAAGACGACATTCCATCCTTTGATCTCAGCCCTCTCAACCATCAAACACCAACAACACCAACGAAGTTGACTACCAACACGGCAACCGATCAACCAGGAGAGCCTCGCAAAAGAAGAATCGTGGTGAAGAATGCGCACGGAAATGAAAAGAAGGCAAGAGCAACACCACCACCAGCACAGCCACAAAGCACCCAGTCACAGACGGAGTCATATGCTATATGGTCAAATCTGTACACAAACAGCCAAGAGAAGCTCAAGGAAGTCCGTGAATGCATAGATGCTTACCTAGAGGACCTGAATTCTCCAACTGTTGAACCAGTTGCTCCACAATCACAAAAATCACCAGTTGAATGGTCAACACCAACACAAACAACACCTGATGATATGTTCAGCAACATCCTGGAGTACATAAGATGCAAAAACAAGAAATTTGTCAAGAGGTAAGTCATCATCTTAAAACTTCTACTGTTATATGATGTTACTGTAGTGATCTAGTTTGTTACCATATGGTAAAATATGGTAAGATATGGTAAAATTAGATAAATCTATGGTTTAATGTTACAAAATGTAGTAATGCACAAGTCCTGTTTTGTTTTAGTTTAATACCATATGGTATGATGTGGTAAGCTAAGGTTTGTTGTTAAAGAATGCATTAAACCATAACTCCTGTTGTATTTTACTTATTACCATATGGTAAGATGTGGTTACCTGTTGTGTTTTACTTATTACCATATGGTAAGATGTGGTAAGCTATGGTTTTGTTGTGGTAACCTATTGTTTGATGTCATAAATTAAAGTAAATCATCCGTCTTGTTGTGATGTGCTTTTATACAGTGATGAGATAATGTTTAAAAGGAAGGATGGAACATTCTTGCTGAAAAGGGAGTCAGTACAGTCGATTGACATTCACTGTGAAATCACATCTGATGTCATCGACTGGTATGGAGATGTAATGAACAGGAATGAAGCAAAAAAAGGAAAATTCAAAAGGTGGTTCTTCGGTACATCTTTGGCAGTAAGTAAACCCACCCATA